TGCGGCCCCTACGCTGGGCACTTTCAAGAGTCAATTAAAAACATGGTTATATGTTCAGGCCTTCCCTCAATATTCTTTTCCCCTTTCCTTATTGTTCTATTATTGTATGTGTTTTAATTGATTGTAATATTTGTACAGTGGTGCCCCGCATAGTGAGGTTAATCCGTTCCGAATTAACCTTCGCTATGGGGAAACATTGCTAAACGGAACGGAAAAGCCCAAATGAGCCCCAGACTCACCGTTCTGCAATGTTTCCCCATGTTCTGGTGGCCATTTTGGGTGTTCCGGCAGCCATTTTGGGTGTTCCGGTGGCCATTTTGGAACCGCCGAACAGCTGTTTCCTCATCGCAATGCAATAAAACATCGGTATGTGATCGCATTAGCGATCGCAAAATCCGCATCGCCATGCGGATTCATCATTAAACGGTGCGCTCGTTATGCGAGGCACCACTGTATGTTCCATGACAAATACTTTTATTGGAAGCCGCCCAGAGTGGTCGACCAGACCAGATGGGCGGGATACAAATAAAATAAAATAAAATAAAAATGAATCTACATGTTTGAATGGTGATGCAATAAAAATCAGTAAGGAAAGAAAACCCAATATAACCGTAGTGATTTAAAAAAATGATTAAAAAATAAATTCATATGTCAGAAGCAAAACTTGTTCCCAGTTAAAATCAACAAAAGCAAGTATTTTTCCAAATTATTCCGGGAGGCCTTTACATTGTAATATTTAGAATTTGTCTGAGCTGTGTCCAGGAATATCAAACAGAGCCCTGAGCCTAGAAGGGTATAGTGGTGTTTCTCCTTTTTTTCTATCCTTTACTATTATATTTTAACAAGGTAAAGATGCTAATCCAGCTGAGAGGAAAGCAGCCATGAAATCAGCTGAAGAATTTATTCAGCAAATGAAGTATCCTGCCAATACTCAGGTATGCCTGTGAAAGAAACAACCATATTTTCATCCAACTACAGATGTGATGACTAAGTATAGCTCCTGTAAGGCTACCTTGACTCTAGTTCCTATTGGGGAGCATAGTTGCATGAACTAGGGCATAACAAAGATGACCCGTGCTATTTATAGACCAGCGAGACCCTAACTTAATTAAGCCAAATATGCCTATTGTGCTCCAAACCTGAATGCTGGAAAGATGTGGGTGGGAAAGATGATGTTTCTGTACTTAGATTAAGTTAGCAAAAAAGTGGGGGGGGGAGATGTGGCCTCATTAAACTCCAAAAAGTTATAAAGGGAAGCAAAATGAATTGTAAGCAATACTCAGATTTGGGCTGGCATGGTGACAGTCAGTAACAACTGAAAAAAGACAGTTTGCCTGAAAACCAGCAATTAGCTGATTACAGTTGCTGTAGCCTTTAGGGGAAACTAAGCACTCTATCACTTCACTCAACTTGTATACTACTGATTGATGTTTGGACAGTGTCATCGAAGCTACCAACATGAATTTTACCCAACTCCAGGAGGCAGTGGAAGACAGGAGGGCCTGACGTGCTCTGGTCCATGGGGTCACGAAGAGTCGGACATGACTTAATGACTAAACAACAACAACAATTGATTGATGAAACAGGGAAGAAGTAAAAGTGAGAAGTTGGACCTGTATCTTTTCCAGGTCCAGTATGTAGATCAGTTGGCAATCAGCCTCTACTTCCTCATAGATTAATTAGCAAAGAATGTGAGACTCTAGGAAGGAAGTTAAGGGTTCTCGGCTTTCTAACTCTTTCCCTCTTTGTCCCATTTGGTTTCAGATTCAGGTTCTTCCAGAAGGAGGTGAAACACCAATGTTCAAGCAATTCTTTAGAGACTGGAAGGACAAAGATCAAGCTGATGGCTTTGGGAAAGTGTACGTCACAGAGAGAGTGGCAAGAATTGAGCAGATTGAATTTGATGCTACCAAGTTACACGAGTCTCCACAAATGGCAGCCAGGCACAACATGGTAGATGATGGTTCTGGGAAAGTTGAGGTATTAATATGTATTGTTTCACTTTCCTTGCTATTTAGCTTCTTGACCTCATTTTAGTCATTGATATGCCTTACAATAGTAGATTTGCAATACTGGGCTTCTATCCTCTCCACCTCAACACAAATGTTTGAAGCTCATGTTTCTCTGAAATTATCCTAGATTATGTTTGTGAAGGCCACGTTACATGCTACACTTAAATGGTTAGCATGAGAAGTGAGTGTTTATTTGTCTCATCCTTGCACATGGGGATGAGGAACTCATTGGCTAGAAATTTCCTGGAACACTCAGCTTACTTCTTGCATTAGCAAGAATCGTGTTTTGTGCAAAATATGCTCTTCTTGCATGCAAACAGATACTTTTTATGCATCATTGTCCTTTTCTTATGCAAAACCACGTAGGTTACAGGAATTGAGGGAATTGCCCTGAACTAAGATTACTGCTATAGTGGTGCCTCAATTTACACACACCTATACCTACGAAATTTTCGAGTTGTGAAAACCTCTGGCCGCAAAATTTTGTTTCGACTTGCGGCCGGAGCTTCGACCTAAGAACAGAAAAAGGCAGGGGAAAAGGGTGGGAAATTCAAACCATTGGTGGTGAAGAAGCTGCTTCTTTGTAGCTCTTTCGCCCCAACGGTTAGAGCAGAGTCATGACTGAATTATATGGACTCTGACTGCTGGACTGATTTATAAGGACTCTGATCTGTTTTATGCCTATTGGAATTGCCGTGTTTGACCACTGGACTGAAACAAGGACAAAGCTGTATGTGTATGTATATATCCTGCAACTTACTTGATTCAATACAATTATTTCTGCTATCAATACTGTTTCCTTGCCTGGTAACTTCATAAATCTGGGAAACTCTACTTATTAGTGTCACCTGGCACACCTGGTATACTGCAACTCTGTCACATATCTCACATTCCTCACAGAACAGAGATTGACAACGTGGGCTCTAATCAAGGGGTGCTAAACCTTTGAAAATCCAGATGTTTTGGACTAGAACTCCCAGAATTCCCATCCTGTATTGCCAGTCTGAGAGAAATGTAGTCCGAAATATCTAGAGCGCCAAAGGTTCATTAGTCTCTTAGAGTTCACGTTAAATAAATTAGTCTTTAGGGTGCTTGCAAAATCTTTTCTTGACTCATTGGTCTTGTTGAAGCACAACATTTAGAGAGGATGAAGGAATGGGAATGAACAATTTGCTGTGTTTCAACGTAACCACTATCCCAGATTACACTGATTTATAGGTCAATTTGCCAGATTAACATATTTCACTGTGACCTTTATTTCCATTGAAGTTTATGCCACAGTAGTAGTCCAGTCCTGTGCTTTTCTACTCATTGTCAGTTTCATTACAGCTTACTCCAGTGTAAGTGGGCATAGTTGCAGCCTAAATTGTTTTCTTCCTGAAATTATCACATGATTTCTTCTTGCTTTTGCTGAAACAAGTTAACACAGCTATCTCTCTGGAATATATCACCATGTTGAAGGCTGTTTTGAGAATCCAAAATGTGTATTTTCATTTTGCCTCCATTCTTTAGATCTGGCGTGTTGAAAGCAATGGCAGAATCCCTATAGAACCTGAGACTTATGGGCAATTTTATGGTGGTGATTGCTACATCATACTCTACACCTATCCCAAAGGTCAGATAATCTACACATGGTATGTATGGTTGAAATTCTTTTTTGCTTCACTATACTGTTCCTACAGTCTTGAAGCAATGGGAGAAACCCTCTGCTTGTAGCAGTCCTTTTGAGTCAAACTGTGTGTAATATCTAAATCTACAGTAGGGAAGACCAGATTGTGTTCTGGAAGGGGAACGACTTGGATTTGGAATTTTCCTCCTCAACCTCAAATTATAAGATGTAATTCATTTTTGCACTCAAACGTGGAACTGTGAAGAAAATTATATGGGGAGATCTTGAATAAGACTGTTGACATAACCAAGGATATCTTCATTTTTTTCTTTATATAGTATTACTGCTACCTGACCTTGTCCTATAAATCTAATTAACAGTTTGAGGCCAGAATATTTTAAAAAAGCACCTTCTCCCATATGAACCTGCCCACTATCTACTTTTCTCAGTTGAAACCTTGTTGGTTGTCCCTCCTCCTTAAGAGGCGAGGTTGGTGATTATAGATTAGGCATCCTTCAGTCTCGAGAGACAGTGGTAACGTGCTCGGTATCAAGGACTTAGAACAGTGTCTAGTGTGGCTGAGAAGGCCAATTCGAGAGTAACAATTCCTTGCACACTGAAGACAAATACAATCTGTCCCCTGCCCAGCTCCCTGATTTTGCTGGTTTCGGGACTGCCTCTTTGCCTCGGCCTGCTGGACAAGTGTCTCTTCAAATTGGGAGAGGCCATACTGCACCGCCTGCCTCCAGGCTTGATTATACAAGACAGATTAACTGGGCAACATTACCTTCCTTGTGAAACTCTTTCCCTGGGTTGATCGCCGAGTGTGGCACGATGTCCTTTAGCCATTCTCAAAGGAAGGCCTTGTCACATTTGAAGGAGGAAACAGTTCTTCACTAAAATTCATTATGCAATTTATACAATCCTTATTCAGCAAATATTTCTTTTATATCATGCTTATGGTCGTGGCCAAAAAAAAAGGTTGAGTATGGCTGTTTTAGAAAATTGGTTAAGAGTCAATTGTTCAACAGAGCCTTCTTACATTTAATACTGCCATCTGATTATTTTTAAAGCAAACCCTAATTTTATTTATTGAATAATGATCTTGTATTTGTATATTTGTATTTTACTTTTAAAATTTTCTCAATTTTATATCATTCCAGTTATTCATTGAACAAGGATATAGGTTTTTTTTTTAATTAAAAAAGGACTAAAATTGCGGAAACAAAAAGTCGCTTACTGGAGTGGCTACTAATTAATCATTTTTAAAAAACTTTTGCAGTTCTGAAGAAAGAACAAGTCATACAGCCTCTCCCAGCCGGTCCCTTCTTCTGAATTTCCATTTTCATGACCCATGGAGGCAGGAGCTCCACTTTATGAAAAGCTGATAGAGATGCATTTTGATAGAGATGAAAGCTGATAAAGATGCAAAATGATAGAGATGCATTTTGAGATGCATTTTCAGCTTTACCTGTGTCTTCTGCATCCACAGGCAAGGTGCTCGTGCAACTAAAGATGAATTGACAACGTCGGCATTCTTGACTGTCCAGCTTGATCGGTCTCTTCAGGGACATGCTGTCCAGGTTAGTGCCTTGAGATGAGCAGAAAAATATTGATGGCACAAGCAAAATACCCTTCTAGAAAACTAAAGTGGCAATTATTATTTTGGTTGAGTCTGAATTCAAAATTTATAGCAATCTTTATTGGATTTCCCACATGTTTTATTGTGATGTAAATCAGGATAACATCTCATATGTGTTAGTCAGTGACATTTTTCCCACATATGCTTATTATTATTATTGACCTATCTGGTATAATAAATGTTTATAGCTTTCAGCTTCAGGTAAAACTCCCCCTTCTCGCTCAGAATGTATACAGTTTAGTAGAGAAAACGGGGAAAAAGGGTATGTGGAAACAAGAGGCTCTTCCTTAAATGTAAATAGAGGGCTTTTCGTGTTTGTTTTCTGGAACAGTTCAGAAATCATTGGCAAGGGTTTTGGGAACGACCCAAGAAAAACCTAGATCCTGGGAGAACAGAGAATCTATGAAGGTGTTAAAAGGTGTTAGAAGAGCCTTGGGCTTTCACCACCAGCCATGCTTGCCGGGGTTTCTGGGAGTTGTAGTCCAAGCACACCTGGGTTACCCAAGGTTGGAAGCCACTGTGTTAGGGAATCCTGGTTTGTCACCCAGAGTACTTAGCTCTGACCTTACTGTCATCCCTTTCCACATGCAGTGACTGATCAAGACCCCTGGAATATCTGGGTTCTTCCTCATGTGGAGAATCTCCCCATGAGGAGATACATCCTCCATACTCATTGGTGAATGCATGTGGGAAAGGACAACAGAGGGGAAGAGGTTGGGAACTTGACCCCAACTTTTATTGGCAAAGGACAATTCTGCAACACCTGAATAAGTTAGAAGGCCCATTCCACCTGAGTATTGTACAAAACAATGTATGGATGGCATGAGGATAGATGCTGCAGCCACACTCCTAATGGTTTTGTATGGTCCAGCTACACTTTTAATTAACTCACCTCCAACCTTCATGGGAATGGCAATAAAAGCCCTTCAGATTTCTCAAGTTCACTCAGGGAGGTAAGGGACACGGAGTGTGGGGTTGACTTATAAGACGCCATGCTCATGACATGTATTGCTGTACTTTATTCAAACATATTGTTGCAGTGGTGCCACCTTGATCACAGTTGTTTATTGGGTTAATTTATTGAACCAACCAGCTGTCAAATGCTGAGTGGTAGAAGGAAACTGCTGGGTGAAGCTGATGGATCAAGAAATGTTTGAAGGATGGGGAGCATGATAATTAGAATCAGATAACAGGGCCATGTACAGTATCTGGTATTTTGTTTTCCATCAATGATCAGTGAATGCCCTCTTTGTTCTCGTTCATTTCCATTTGCCAATGATTCTCATTCATATTGTGGCACAATAGGCTTTTTTTTTTTAAAAAAAAGCTGCTGTTCCTGGTCTAGGGACAAGAATGAGCACTTCTAGTTTGTTTGACCTAAAGATGAGCTGAACAGTAGTTCTCTTGAAAGGTGCTGACGATGTGTGACAACCCTTGAGACAGTTGATAAACAGTACCATAACAAACACAGATCAAATTGTACTGGCAGAACTGTGGGTGATTTGCAGCAGGTCACAAAGGCCTCTTTTTAATGCCCAGGTTTTATTGTATTATTGATTTTGCATTTATAGTGTTGAGCTGTATTAAATTTTTTAAAAATTCTACATTACTGCATGTGCTCACTGGACCGAGCAGCTATCTGAGTAAATCATTAAAATAAACAACTAAAATTAAAAAAAAATGTGTTGATGGCTTTGCTGTGACAGGATTGATTACTAAGACTTAAACAAAGATCATCTAGGAGTTTTGATTATCTGCGATTCAGCAACAGCAAAAAAATCAGACACATTTCCCTCCCTCCTTAAATGAGCCTACGAAAACCATGAAAGTTTAGAACAAACATAGGTTCTGTGTGTGGAAAGATTGCCATGCAAGCCTTATCTCTAGTACTTAAAACAAATCCCGGGTCACCTGGAACAGTCAATCTTGTCCCCCAGCATTTTCTAAACTATAAAACTGCTGCAGTATGATTCCTGTCACATTCTCCAGTGGAATGTTGGGAACTGTAGTTTGGTTCATCACTTAGAAATCTGTGAGAAAAAGTTGTACAGTGGTGCCTCACTAGACAGTTACCCCACAAGGCAGTTTTTTCGCTAGACATTGACTTTTTGCGATCCCTATAGCGATTCGCAAAACAGTGATTCCTATGGGGGAATTTCGCTGGACAATGTTTGGTGCCTGCTTCGCAAAACCAATTTTTGCTAGACAACGATTTTGACAGCTCCCTCTGCGCTCGCAAACAGGTATTTTCGGGACTTAAGCTTCGCAAGACAGCGATTTAAACAACTGATCGGTGGTTCACAAAGCGGCTTTCCTATGGCCGATCTTTGCTAGACAATGATGATTCTTCCCCATTGGAACGCATTAAACAGGTTTCAAAGCATTCCAATGGGGAAATGCTTTTCGCTAGACAATGATTTCGCTAAACAACGATTTCAGTGGAACAGATTATCATCGTCTAGTGAGGCACCACTGTAGTGGTTTTCTCGGAACTAATTCTAAGCCCCTGAGCAAACTACAAATCCCAACAGTCCCTTGGATGGAGCCGTGGCAATTGAGATAGAATTAAATGGCTACAACTCAGTAGTGTAGATATACTCTTAGTTCTATGCCTGCCTTTCTGAGCCATTCTTTTTGTAAATGGCTGCTGCTGATGGACCCTGTGGTTCTAGAGACGGAGAAAAAGAGCAAGTTCGATGAATCCTAAGGTCTCCTCTTTTGCCGTGCTTTAAAGTGCTGCTATCTTATCTGTCACTAGATGGCACTGCAGCCTACGATAGGACAAACGGGAACCTCTTAAAATGTTAGTTTAACATAGGGAGGCCCTTGCGAATAGTGTTTCCCTGTGTTTACTTGGGAACTGGCTGCACCTTCCGATAACTGCAGCCTCTGTAACACAGGGGAGTTTCTGGTGTGCAAAGTCACAGTTTCATTTGAACAGCTTCTTATATCTACATGTCATGCAAACAAGCAGAGAGACCAACCTCTTTTATAATCACCACCAACTGTACTACAAGAGGAGGAAGAACAGAGAGATACGTGGGCTGGGGAGAAGACTGCCTGCATCTTCACAGAGATTTAAACGTTCATCTGATCTTAAAAGTGACTGTCTTGCAGTGACTTGCAGTGCTTTGCAGACTGGGTTGTGGATGAACTCAGCTCCTTTTTAAAAAAATCTGTGCAGGTTAGAATATCTATTGTGTTAGAGTGATGAACCTAGGCTTTGGTCAAATCTTTCAGTCCTTTCTTATCCTTTCCTCCCATTCCTTTGCTTGCTGTCCCCTCTCTGTTAGAATCCAGATCATAACTTTTTTTGTATGCTGTATAGCTGCATGTTCCTTGCTTAGTGCTATATAACAAATAATATCAAGTCTTTGGCACATTGCAGCTTGAATGCCTTAGAACAAGTAATGACTGTTCCTTGTTATTAACTCACGGTGCTGGGCTATGGAGCTGACTTGATAGCTTAGTGAGTTGGAGCAGTGGGAGTTCAATTCTCCTCTATTCCTTATTAGGAGAAGAGACAGCCCATGTAGCCTTGGGCAAGCTTCAGTTGCTCCAGAGTAAACTGAGATTTTGGAACTGCAGCACCAACATCACAACAATCTATGGTACATATTGTCAAAAGAATGGGTGGCAGCCAGAAACTGCTGTGGCTTAAATTAAAAAGAAGAGAAGAAACAGTCCAATACACAGAAAATAGCAATGTTGGTTCAGCTAATCTAGCCAGAATATTCTCAATGTATTGGGCTGTTGTCCCCCCCCCTTCTTTTTTAATTTTAGCCACAACAGTTTCTGGCTGCCACCCATTCTTGTGATAAGATGTTCCACAGATTGTTGGTCATAAGAAATAATTCTTTTTAAAAGAGCTCCTCTCACTTCTTTATGGCAGATTTTCTTGTAATCAGCACAGTTTGTCAATTTCCATTTCCATATGGCTTTTTTGCTCCTTGCTTTCTTCCAATTTCAAGGAGAGATATACAAAAAATACATAAAAGTGCTGCTCTCTGATGCATTTAAATGCAAATATCAAACCAAACACAGAGAGAGAATACGAAGTTAGAGGAGATACAAAGTTTGCAAGGAGCATCTCACAGTTTTACTCGCGTGAGAGACTGAGCAAGTGTAAGAGTGCCATCACTGCATGTAGCTGTCACAAACACTTCAGTTATTCAAAGAAAATGTGTCACTCTTAACTTTTGCCAGCATCCTGGCCCTCTAAAAGCATCTGTTGTCCAGAGTAGGGCAGGGCATTAGGTAGCCTGCCTCTCCCATGACTTGTAAAATCTGTTATTATTCTGTTCCATTCTGACATCCTGCAGATCAGAGTCAGCCAAGGCAAGGAACCTCCCCACTTGCTGAGTTTGTTCAAAGACAAGCCACTCATTGTTTACAAGGATGGCACATCCAAGAAGGGTGGCCAAGTGCCTGCACCTCCAACCCGTTTGTTCCAAATCCGCAGAAACCTAGCATCCATCACCAGGATTGCAGAGGTAACAAATTCAGATCCAGAAATCTGTTCTTCTTGGTGTAATAAGGTATAACTGCTTCTGGTCCTAATCATAGAGGGAAAGATCTCGATAATAGCAGCAGATGTGTGGTTGTAAAACCGAGGTGGTAATCGTGTGGCTTTTCTCACTCTCTCCCAACCCCAAAAGAGAACTACAACTCTAAGGGGAATGGGTCTTCTCTAAAACAATGCATGGCCTCCCTTATGCCTTTGCTTTAGCCAAAAATTTCCCCTCCCCCCAAAAAAACAGAAATGGGGTGCCTCCCACAAAAAAAAACCCTGGTCATTTGTGGTATTGTGTGGAGGGCCTAGAATTGCCTCCAGAAGTTCCTGGGATTGGAAGAATGCTTCTTGGACCTCCAGTTCTTGCCCATCCCTGGTATAAACAGAGTTCTTCCCCACTTACACGAGCCTGTGCACGCGTGTGCGCGGGAGGGCGGGTGTGCAGGCGGGCCGGTGGGCGTGCATGTGGGCAGGTGGAGGTGGGTGGGAGTGTGGGAGTTAGTGCAGGTGGGTGGGAGTGTGTGTGTACTTGTGTGCAGGTGGGTGGGAGTGTGCATGTGCATGTGCCCGTACATGTGCGTTCCTCCATCCCTCGAAAATATCAAAAATATATTATGTGGCCCTCGATGTGAAAAGTTTGGAGACCCCTGCTCTAGAATAATGTGATTTAATTGGTTAAGTGACGGGATTTTGGCCACTTTCCCAAAACTGAAAAGAATGCTATTTTGAATAATAAAGTCTTAATATTGAAATTGCATTTGCATTTTGGCCGGCTGATGGCAGTTTGAAAGGGGGAAACCACACAATCTTTTCCTGTTCCCCCCCCCATACTTGGTATCATGAGTTCCTTGTTTTAAAAAATTGCAATTGGTGATTTGCCTCACTTTAATTTATTGAAATATTTATAAATATATACCACCTTTTGAGAGAAAAAGGTGGTTTACCATGTAATAATCTGGAAGAATAAAACATAAAATATAGTAAATCAAAACAACATGAAATGCATAAAGTAGAAAATCAATGAAAATCAAAGTATGAAAGATAGCCCTGCATTTAATTATAAGCACACTGGAAGAACTAGATTTTTATGGCCTTTTTCAAAATAGCGAAGAAGGGGCTGTGCACCTATCCTGATGTGGTGCTTTCCATAAGGAGGAATGGGCCATTGCAGAGAAGATATTTGCAGAATGTTTGATGGTCTTGGATGGTATTTAATTTCTGAGAGAGAAGAGAGAGCACATCAATTTGGCTAACTTTGGGAAGAATGAAAAGGAAAAACTGAAGCCAGCTCACTCTTGTTTCAGGTTGATGTTGATGCAGCTTCATTGAATTCCAATGACGTTTTTGTCTTGAAACTGCCAAATAATTCTGGATACACCTGGGTTGGCAAAGGAGCAAGCAAAGAAGAACTGAAAGGTGCTGAATATGTAGCCGGTGTGCTGAGATGCAAAACCTCGAGGACTGAAGAAGGCGAAGAGCCAGGTTAGTGGACACAAAGTTGGGGTCAATTATTCGGAGGACATGGATCAGGAAGACAGGCAATAGGGATATGTCTATGCACAAAAATGCTCCCTCCCAGTATACTGAGGAAGTACACTCCTGCTGAAAGGTTAGAGTTGAAGGGGAAGGTGAGATGGGGAAAAGGTAGATTAATGGATAGATATTTAAAACAGATACAGGATGACTATTCCCCTTGAAATGTGTTTGCTGTGCAATTCTTCAAAGAACTGTTGTGTTGTATATTCCAGAAGAGTTTTGGAGAGCCCTTGGGGGAAAGAAAGAATATCAGACATCTGCACAATTACTGACAGAGTCAGACGATCATCCTCCCCGTCTTTATGGGTGCTCTAATAAGACTGGCAGGTTCATAGTAAGTATAAGACCAATACTTTCTGCTCTTTCCATTGACTAGTGTCGTCATTGCATCTCTGGGTCTTAACCCTCCCTAGCAGAGAGAAGGAAAAAAAAGTATTCTGTTGGGCATAAAGACAAAAGGAAGCCTATTTATTGCAGCATAGCAGTTCAGATATCTGCTGTCACATGGTAATGGCATTACAAAGTGTTGCTGCCATCAATGAATAACTTTTAGGTCCACCCCCCCCACCCCCACCCGGTCTTCCAGGAACTTCCTATTTTTTCTGTATTCAGTAACTTTAGATCTGATCAAATAAAGGCAGCTTATTCATTAGTCAAGTAACAAGAGCCATGCAAATTACACACACACACACACACACACAAACACACACGTGGCCTGCTTTATAGAAACACTGTGTTTTGTACTAAAACTGTTTCACATGAAATAATTTGCTAATTGATTTTTTGCATAATGTGACTGGGTGTCTAGTTAATCTAACAGAGCTATACTTCATTTATTTAAATCCTTTCTCAATCTAATCCTGCAGTGAGTGTATTATAGTATAATACAAGACTCAAAGGTTGATGTCTAGATAAGTTACCTGATAGTTGGATCATAAACAATGTCAGAGATCCATAGGTATAAGTTATCCATGATTCTCTAAATGAAATGTCTATTATGCAGGTAGTCTGCCTCATTTATGGAATATTAAAGCTTTCATAGGTGAATGCCCCATGGATTCTCATAATTTTTTCCATATTTTGTCTGGTAACTCAAGTGTGGAAAGATAAAACAGCCACATGAGGTCTTTCAGTGCTGGGAGCTTTTGTTTGGAATCAGTCCTGGACCACCCCTGTCCCATGGTTAGCCCAAGATTCTGACAGATCAAGATGTAGATATTTCTTTGGGCAGAACTTCTAATTAGCTAGAACTGAGTCTCAGAGTTCAATGTTTCCTAAAACCGTGAATACTCCTCCCAGCCCAATATCTAAAAATCATGTTTTGTTTCTACTGCCATGTTCTTGGCTTCTCTCTTGCTTTGCCTTGACCTGAATTGCTGACTTCTGTACCTTGACTGTAACTTAGGTCATTCTCCAGCTGTTCTCATACATACATCTCTTCCCCAATGTTTTGCAATCTAAACTATGTTTTTGCCTGTGATCTTGTCTTCACTATTGATTATACAATTTCTGTCACTCCTAGTGTAACATGAGTACTTCAGTGTTAAATTCATTCACCCGTAGGTCAGAGAATATTTTGGACTGTTTTGTTTAGAAGGAGTTGCAAGACAGTAACGGTTTTTATTATATATTATAGATTGAGGAAGTTCCTGGAGAGTTTACTCAGGATGATTTGGCTGAAGATGATGTTATGTTGTTAGATACCTGGGATCAGGTAAGGCAGTTTTTTAATTGCTGGAGATCTTTGGGGTGAGAGGTATGCAAGTGCATATCTGGACATTAGGTGGCATAGTATGCAAGTGGTAAAATGGAATGTAGCATTTTATTGTACTGGCAGGCAAATCACATATTCCAGTGTCCTCTGCACAGCTGAATCTGCTTGCAAATAGGAAACCAGCACAGAGCAAAGGGCTGGGATGCAAACTCCCCCTCTGTAATGGCATTTTCCTGTTTCTAGTGAGTTCTGTGTATGCCCATGTTTACCTGGTGAAACATTAAAAAGTGGTAAACAGCTTAAAAGAATAAAATAAGAATGCATTAGAAATTGACTGCAAAGACTTAGCCCCATAATGATGCACCCAAGAAGGAACTTAAAAAGGAAAGGAGCTCTTTAAAAACAGATTGTTGCAACCAATGTTGAAATCAGGTTTCAGTGGATATAGTTGATATATGGCTCAGTTGCACCCTATTATTCACCAGGAACACATTCTAACTCCTTGTTTTCTTAAGGACCATTTCAAGATAACATTTGTCAACTCTGACCTAGTAGACCACCTAGAAAAACATTCTCTTTGGACTCTTAAAAACTTGACCATTTTCATTTGGCGAGGTAGTGGCAGTGGCATATATCATTTTGGATTGCATTGCACTTACAGCAATAAAGTCTCTTAACCAGGATCACATTTCCCCATACTTTACAGCCTTGTGGGTGAAGCCGGAAAGGAAGAGCTGGCTGTGTTTAAGCCATCTCTGTGTTAAAGGAAGACACATTTAAAAACACTAGCACCCTCATCTCAGCAAAGCACCCGCCCCTCCTATTGTTCAGAGATAAAAATTCATTGATAACTCTCCTGTCCTGATCTGCCTAGGAAAAAGAGAACACATTTCTTACCAAACAGCTTTCATTCTTCCTTATTAGTCTGTTTTGGGGAGAACTCGGCTATTACTCCAGTTGGAAACAGGAAGGCTAGAATCTTAGAGGACCTGTTGTGTGTGTTCTCCAAGTTCAGGGTTGATGCAGGGCATTGTGTTCTCTGTGTTTTGAAATGGAGGTAGGCAGAATTTTCCACCACATGTCTATAAACGTTTATGTGTGCGTGGGAAGGATTTCAATTTGTCTTTGTTAGGGTGGGGCATATACTGTAAGTATAGTAGAGTTGTATGCCAATTTTAGCTACCTTTGCCTTCTTTCACTGAGTGGGAAAAACATGACACCTACTCTACATACTGATATACTGTTATATGAATAAGGTGTATCTTGAATTTATTTGATTTTAAAAGTGCAAGAGTAGGTTGTACTTCCTCAACAACCAGCTAGTTTTTCTGGTACAAACTGGGCAAAGTCTCACCAGAAAGTATAGTCTCACCATTTGTCTTCTGTTTAGATAGTCTCTTTTTTTCATCATGGGATGATCCACCCTTCACTCTCTCAGTAGTAAGATGTTATTTCCTTGTTTGTATTCTATCTTGTCCCTGGGGGGTTGCTAAAATTAATATTACAATTAAAATAATATAATAACATGAACACATCATAATATAAAATAATGGTATAAATTAGTTTGTGGAATTAAAACAGTAAGAAAATCCAAGGAAACTTTGCTTTCACTGAAGATGAAAAGGCCTGAGAACTTAGAAAGGAATTTTTCTGGCTTAGAAATGGCATAAAGGAGAACAGACACCACATGAAAGTATCCCCTGAATATTCCATAGTTGAGAGGTCAAAACTAAGTAGGCCCTTTCCCCTATAGCCACCTCCAATATCTCAAACAATAGGGACCCCTGAAGAAAATGAAGACCATAGAAGAGTGGTTCCCTGATGTTCTTGGACTAGTTGTGTCCAGGATTTCTGGGAGTTGTAGTCTAAGAACATCTGGGGACCCAAGATTGGGAACACCTGCCATAGAGTATGGGTAGGCAGATGTGCTATACTGGTCCTAATCTGACTTTAAGGAACAGAATTGGTGCTTGGAACAGAACCTAGAAACAAGGTGGGAACCAATGGAGTTGATGAGGCACATCTATAATAGGATCATAACAAAAACAGGTCTCCTCTCTCTCATTTAAAAAACAACATGAAGCAGCAGTGACTGAAAGGGGACAGGCAATTGGAGGAAAGAGATACAGACGTAAGCTGATAGGTAGTTTCAGGCTGGATTGCTCCATAAGTTAAGTGTCTGACAACTGATTGATTGATTGATTGATTGATTGATTGATTGATTGATTGATTGATTGATTGATTGATTGATTGATTGATTGATTGATTGATTGATTGATTGATTGATTGATTGATTGATTGAACTTCTGTGCTGCCTTTCTCCTGATAACAGAACTCAAGGCAGCTCAGAGATCATTAAAGAGATGGGAATTTAAACAAAATACAAGAAGTATTAACATTATTAAATGTGAAAATATTAAAATCATCTTAGATTAAAAAGTATTAAAAGGCATTGTAAAAATGAAGAATATAATGGAAACAAGGTTAGGCCAACTACCTATGTTAAAATTTAATATTTTCAGTTTTAGTTGCCAGTAAGATTATAAATAATTGTAGGCCAGGTTATTGTAAATTCCATATTTTCTTGCCTTCATAGGAAACCAAATGTTTCTTAGCAAGTGCATTTAAATTATTATTATTTGAAAAGTTTCTTCTTGGGAAAATGCCATAACTGGGGTTCTTGGCATTTGACGGAAGACATTAAAAAGCACAGAACACAAATAATTAGCATAGAAGGAAAATTGAAAACAGTAGATTTTCATAATCTGTCCATTGCCTGCTGCACACGTCTGTAATAATTTACATGTTGCCAGCCTGCCTAAATTCTTTTACTCTGATATTGTAAGAAGCGTTTGCTGAATAAATATTTTGCTTATTCTTGAGAAAACAATGGAGCTTATAGACAACAGGTATTGATGGAGTTAGATCGGCTCCTAATTTCCTTTGTCCTAGATTTACTTGCTTGGAGATCATGTGGGCAGAGTGCCACTGAAGTAAAAACCTTATGTCAGGAAAGTACCACCAGTGTACTGAACTGAAAGCATGGCGGAAAAAAGAGAACACTCATTCAGACTCACATCCAACCAAGTGGTTTAGGTATCTGGTTGTGGAGCCAGAGTTTGGGAGTTTGATTCCCCACTGTGCCTCCTGTAAGTAAAGCCAGCCTGTGCAGCCTTGGGCAAGCTGCACAGTCCCAGAATGCGTCCAGAAGAAGGGAACGGAAAACCGCTTCTGAGCGTTCTTTATCTGAGAAACACCGAGAATGTCGACATAAGTCAGAATTGACTTCACAGCACATGATGATGATTAGTGATGAGTAGAAAGAAAACAGCACTTAGTGTAGAGACAGAAGGAATGCTGAGACGATATCACACAAACAGCAGAGAAGAAATACAGGACAGTGTCAAGGTTGTGGGCCATGGACGTCATAGTGGTGAAGAGGAAACCATGTAAGTTTAACCTTAAAATCACCATCTTGGAATATCGACCCCTAGTACTTTACTATGATTCAGTCTGTGGGACTGTTTCTGTTTTATTTCAAAACAATTGCAACAGTTTGTGTGTTTTCTTTGTCTCTAGGTATTTGTCTGGATTGGCAAAGATGCTAATGAAACGGAACGCACTGAATCAATCAAATGCGGTAAGGAACCAAACAGTTCATCCCAAATCTGATTGGAACAGGTTCCAAAGGATTTATATAAATGAAAGATATTTAAATTGCTACCCCAAACTTCAACCCTGAAGGCTCAGGGTCCGCTCTGACATTACCTTCATAGCATATTGACTACCACTATCCATTTGAAGTGCATGTGTGTGTGTTTGTGTGCATGCAAGTATCTGTTGCTGGGTTTTTTTGTGTTTTTTTGTTTGTTTGTTTGCCTTCTTACTGCTTTCTTGTTTACATGTCAGCAAGGACATGGGAAACTTTGTTTTCTCTGGTGTACTTTCAGTTGCCATACATTTGTATACATGTATTAATTTTTCAACTGATTTAACATAATAATAGGCCATCTACATGACAGCTGCTCAAATCCTTAACTGTGCACAACTGAAAGAAAACAATATTTCATATTAACAAAGTTCATCAAGTCATGGTGTGTGCCCCACCAACCCACTTGCTGGTGGAGCTGGGGTTCCTTGTTAATAACTCCATGGGCTCCAGTTCAGCTTCTTGACTCATATCAGCTTTTATTAGTTATAGTACCAGTTCCCTCAGCCTTCCCCTCCCCCCCGGTCAAACTACAGTCTCTACTTGCCAGCTTGGGGTCCAGTTAGTTTCACTGGAATTCCCCCAGATTACAGATTCTGGAAGGTAGGAAGGAGGAGAGAGCTTAGGTCTGAGACACATCCCTTTAAGAGAAGGCTTGTATAAATGAGCACAAGAACTCGGTCTCTGCAGCTCATGTCTCCTGGTCCCCTCCCTCACTTGCCTCTTTGGGACTGCAGCATCCAGGCTAATGTCGGCTTGTCCAAGTGTGTGACTGGTGTCTCCGGTGCCTGCTTCCAAGCCAATAAACAGCTTCTGGGATCCTCCCACGCGTCCTCTTCTTCCAAAATAGGTAGCAACCCCTTCCCAGTTCTGCTTTTTTTATGCCCCTTGGCCCTGCCTCCTCCAGCTGTCTCCCATCAGGACACTGTCTGGTAGCAACCCCTTCCCAGTTCTGCTTTTTTAATGCCCCTTGGCCCTGCCTCCTCCATTCTGTCTCCCATCAGGACACTATCTGTCCTGCAGCTGCAGGGACTCCTTCCAGCTGACGTGATCCTGAGGAACCCATCCTCTTCAAACTGGCTTCAGCATCCTCTTCTGAAACTGGCTTCAGCATGGGGTTTTGCAAGTAACAATGCAAGGAGGGAGACAGTTGCTGTTTGATTCTCATAGGCGAAATAACTATGACAGAATTGTCGATAGTTCATGGGACAAGGTTAAACTAAGCAATGTCAAATAAGCAAATCATTGTGAATACACCACGTACGTACCCATACAACAATTCTCTGGATCACAATGCAATTCTTCTGAAAACTCTTTAGTGAGTTATTGGTATTCACGTGAATAAGAGAATATTTCTCCAGAACATTCCATGGAAGGAGGCCTTGTTTGAAACTGCTGCACTTTAAAAACTGTCTAAATGAGCCCTTTGGCTCAAGGGATATTGTGATCCTTTAAGCAGCCAAGCATACAATGGCTGAATTCGTGTTGCTCTGTTATACAACAGGCAGAGTATTCAATTATCGCTAGCTGAGTCCCTGCTGGAATTCTTGGGGGCACCTGTATCTGCTGGCTTAATGTGTACACTTGACAATCCGAGCAGGGACCTGTTAATTGCTGGCTAGGAAAGACAGAATGCCATGCTATTTGTGTTAACAAAGCAACAGAATTTTAGCCAATAACCATGTTTGGGAGAGTGCTGTAAGGTAGTTACTGTGCAATCTTATACATAATTACTTGGAGGTATTACTTCCAGTAGGTACGCATATTGTTCAATCTCAAAAGCAAAACACTGGCCAAGACTTCCTGGGCAGAGTGGCTCACATAACCATAGCAGAGAGATTTGTTGTCATTTTGTTAGCTCAGAACTAGAAGTGTAGAAAGGAGCACTTGGTTATAAATTAGCCGTGCTTTACCTGGAATAAAATTTAGCTCAACTGCCTCTTAAGATTCTGCTAGCCTGCTACATAGACATTAGCACAGGGATCCTTGCAGTGACAATTCTCAGTAATCAAGTACGATGTAGTGCATAAGAGCCAGGGGGAAATACAGAAAACTATATGGATACACTTTACATGGATTCTGATGGAGAGGACACACAACACACAAATGACAATTTAAGTAGATGGAAAAGTAAGATCAGAACAGGAATGGTAATTTCTGAAAACTACAGCACTAATTGCATATTCTGCCTCCTTGTAATAGCCTATTATTAATATTTTGTATATTTGTGTGTTTCAGCTAAATGTTACATTGAGACTGATCCTTCCGGACGAGACAAAGGGACTCCAGTTGTTATTGTCAAACAAGGTTATGAGCCTCTGACATTTACAGGCTGGTTTTTGGGCTGGGATTACAATAAATGGAAAACTGAATAGCTACAGAAGCCTCAACTGCAGAATAGATCTCAGGGCATAGCTATCCTTTGGCAGTTTTAAGCATGTGTTACAAATTCATTGTATATGCAGCTACTGTCATAGTACATATTCCAGTCTTATGTGCATTTGTGCATGCACACATTTTATAAGAATTCATCTATGATCCTAGATAAAAATGGAAATATCCCCTCGACAAATCTGGAAACTGTTCATACATGTGAATGGGAGAGTCCTGTATCTCTGTGCAGCGTTTCTGACTATCACTGCAAAGCATGCTTGCCTGGATCCAAGCTAGGTTCGTGCTTGAAATGGAGCTGTAGAACTTCTGCAGTAGCACTCAGCTCTGTATATGCCTTGGCTTATTATGTTCTTGATTGAGTCCCTGCCCTAGTATGAGTTGCAGTAGTAGGTGGCTTTTCTTCTGTGTTACTCCAGAATAGGTCATCAAGTGTTCGGAAAAAGCTGGTCTATTTTCCAACAGTTCTACATTCTCAGCTTTGCTTTCCCTTAAGTACTGTCAGAAGGCAACTGTATTTTTCATTTATCTTTAGTCCAAGCCCCAGATGCTTATTCCAGCTTCTCTGTTTAAGGACTCTAAGGAATTGTAGAGTGAACTCTTGCTATAGGCCATGGTTCAGGAAAGCTTCCAAAGGAACCTGACAATATCTGAAATTTTATGACTAAGCTAAGGGAAGTTCTCTGTCCCAGGTGAACTGTAGCTTAGACAATTTATGTTTGAATAATTTCCTTTACTAAAGCAGGTTTGGGGGACATGTGGTCCTCTAAATATTAGATTGCAATCAGGTCTAGCTGAGAGATGGTAAGAGCTGCAGTTGAACAACATCTTAATGGCCACATATTCTAATCCCTAGTCAAGGTTGTACCTCAGCCATTGTGATTTGCTAAGAGCTGTAGCAGAAAAGACTCTCACCTTTTCATCGCTGTGGTCCCAACTGCTGAAAAATACCATTTTTTTCCTCTTTCTGTGCCAAAACAGTGGGCTTTTAAAACATTTCAACAAAGCCAGGTTACTTGAAATCCTAATGCATCGGGTGTACCAGATTCTTCTGATGATCACTGGGTTAAAATGGCCATGCAAAAGTTATTGCCATGCCAAAGGTAACATTATCCACACGTTACAACCACAATCACTCCCTCTCATTTTTCGAAATCACACCACATAATCCAGCAGAGGTGGGAAATCATTAAGACATTTGATGAACTGCAATGCATTTCTGAAGCAACTTCTGATTTTTATCAGCATCTCTTAAATGAGAAGATGGATTGGCAAATGTGTTCCACAGTGTGAAATACTATTGAGTGGATGGGCAGGCATTGCTCAAATCTAGTTTTGCTTCTGGATCTCACTGTGGGTTTTTTGTTTCCTGATCCAACACCAAAACCACACGAGGAAGCCTCTTTCTTCATACTGCTCTCCTTGCTGGACCTAGGCACCCATTGGTGAAGCCCAATTTTTATATAAAATACTGATGGGGCAATTATAAATTTCAAATAAGCATATACATGTCCAGAAAGTGACATTAATTGTAAAACCTCTACAACTATGTAATTGTTATTTCTTTTTTATAGTAAATTAAATGTGGCACATTTGTAGACGCAGGACTCTTATTTTGCCAATTAATAAACGCTTTATAATTCTGAACAAACTTATATTGTTGCCATCCTTCTTTTATACCAACATGGTTAATTTTGACATTGTGGCATATGAAGGGAGTCTGTTTTCCCATTCACTTACTCTGGAGACTGATAATACTCTTCACGATTAACAGTAGTCATTACTGGCAGAACACATCAGTTCTATCTATTACAGTTTTATCCACCCTTTCTGCCACAGGTTCAGACAATGTACATTGTTTCCCACCCACCCATTTCATTCTCAAAGTGACCCTGTGAGGTAGGTTAAACTCGCCACCAAGATCACCTTTCTATCTCAGTGTGTAGACTAATGTAACAATGTGCCACAGTATCTCTTTCTAGCCATGAACTGGTAAATCTTTAACATAAAATAACAAAAATATTAATGGATCTAAAGAGATCTCAAGTATCTTTTCAATTATTTCTATTCTAATCTATTACCACAATTTCTTAATGACAAAACAATAAATTTCCTATTTAACATTCCTTGTCGCACTTCCCACACATCTGATTATGTGACTTCAGTGTACAGTATAACCGCCCGGAGTAGACACGTTCTAGATGGGCCGTATATAAATCTAATAAATAAATATATATTTTATATGACTTCATTATTTTAAGCATTATGGATGTTAATGAGATTATGAAATGGATTATTATACCATTTTTTTCTATTACAAGAACATTTGGAATATCATTTCCACGGCAGTATGTGAACATTGCCATATTTCTGAGCCTTCGTGGTCTGCTAGAACTCATACAGTCTACGTCACTCCCTTCTTACCTACATCTTCCCTTCATACCACTTTTTATGGGCTTTAACTATAGATAATACTCCTGGGAGTGACGTGGTCACTTCATGTCTGAATTCCTTTCAGTATTTTACTCCTTTTACAGTGAAGTTGATTGAAATGCTACATGAGATTAGAATGCTGAATACGTTGCAGAAAATAGACACATTGAGCATGATATCTCACATGCAGAGATCTTTCCAAATCTATGAGATCTATTGCTTTTCATAGCTTATCTTCAGATATGAAGAACAGGTTTGTGCTTTTGTATTTCACTTCCTCCTCATAGTTTTGCATAGCTTTTAAGTTAAAGGTCACCTTACAGAAAAAGAGACAAGACTGATTCTTATTTGCTCTAATACAAGAGTGAAAAATCTAATTACCCTGTTCCCTGAAAATAAGACAGTCTTATATTAATTTTTGCTTCCCCCCCAAAAAAACGCATTAGGGCTTATTTTCAGGGGATGTTTTATATTTTTTCATGTACAACAATCTACGTTTATTCAAATACAGTCATGTCATCTGGCTGCTGCACAATGATGGAGGGCGGGGGTTCACTTAACTGGGGCTTATTTTTGGGGTAGGGCTTATATTATGAGCATCCTGAAAAAATCATACTAGGGCTTATTTTCAGGTTAGGTCTTATTTTAGGGGAAACAGGGTAGCAATTTCCTTATATAATGCAATTAGTAAAAGACAAATCAGATGCATTGCTGTATTCATCCTGGCTCCCTCAGGAAACAACTTAAGTAGCTTCACTGCAGCAGAAGAAAAAGTTGAATTTCTTGTTAAAATATAAGTCTTGCTAGTAATATTCGTACTTTTGTGTGCATTGTTTTATTTCTGTATCCAAGGAAAACTATACATACTTTTCTATCTAATGTTAAGTACTGTTTTGTCTAATAAATATATGGTTTCAATGTGGAATTTGGCATTTGTTTTGTTCCAATACAACTACCAGTGCTTTTGCCATGCTGTATCACATTAACAATGAATGAAGCTTACAGCATGTCAATCACCTTATTGGAAGTTTGTTATGCTAGGAGTGTCTGGATTTATTGTCAATGGTAATTACAGTTTTATGACAAAATGTGAAGAGCAAATGTCGCTATAAATTGTAGCTCAAATGTATGTCTATCGTGAAGACATCATAATCATTAATCAAATTGAAAAATATAATTAAGATGTAAGAATGCTGTAGGATGTGGATGTTAGCACTATCAACTTAGATTTGGAAATGTGACTCATAGTTTCCTTTCTGAGTAGATATTTCAGTAATCTAAAGATTTTACTGCAATTTGACTCACTTGTTAAATTAATGAAGACATTTTTTAGACCACAGTACAGCTGTGATGGTTATAAATTGGTGTGCTGTCATAGCTGTGGTTGCTCCACTAGAAAAGGAACACAGATAGGGTCAGCATGATAGAGAAACTGAAGTGATAGGCTCAGGTGGCAGATAACTGGGAAGTACGAGTTGTGGTCAGGAGTCAGGCAAAAACACATGGTTTTTCTTAGGCTTCTCAGCTAGCCTGCTGCTCTCAGATAAAATGGAGGATCCTGCCTTTTCATTAGTGTGGATCATACAGCTGGCATTCTGTCCATTCCTGTACACAAAATCTCTCATCTTATCCTTTGAGAAATTGCTGGATAGCTCAGTGGTTTAGGTAGAGCCAGATGTTGGGAGTTTGATTCCTCACTGTGCCTCCTTGACAGGGGCTGGACTCTGATCCATAGGGTCCCTTCCAGTGTACATGGACAAAAAGGTATATCTCATTTCAAAAAGCAAAGTTTTTAAAAAATATCCTAACGTCATTCATAATAGACACATTAGAGCAGGGGTCCCCAACCTCTGGTTCATGGCCTTGGTAGGATCGGGTCACGGAGACAGATCTCCTGCTCCCCCCGTGCATGCACTCCCCCCATGCATGCCCATATGCACGGACGGCACACCCACCAGCACACACAGGTGCCCCACCCATCCACGAGCGCACCCCTCCCATCCATGTATGCGTGTGAGCACGCCTTGCCCACTCCCAACCGGTCCACAGTTCAGAAAAGTTTGAGGACCACTGCATTAGAGTATTAAACATTAGTGTCTCGTTGAAAATGTCTAATGTGAATATAATGGAAAATAAGAAATAATGTAGAATCCGTTAATCAGGCAGTGAGGAGTGGGGGTGGGCTCCTACTTTTAAAATGAAAGATGTGATTCGCTTCATATAGCCCTGTGACAAACTTAAATAACCACAGACATATAGTCATAATTCAGACTTAGCCCTCTTGAAGGAAAAAGGCAACCAGTATTAATATGGGGCCTGCCCACCTACAGGGCTTAAACATCTCCATGGTGTCCCCTGACACCACCACAAAATCTGGCCTGCTGATTTCCTACAGGCCGTCCTTCTTATGCTGCTGCTCCGCAAAATTTCCTACAGGCCGTCCTTCTTATGCTGCTGCTCCGCAAAAAGGAAATGGTAAACAACTTCTGAGTATTCTCTACCTGGAAAACCCTTAAAAGGGTTGCCATATGTCAGAATTGACTTAATAGCACGCTT